TGGGCCAGGGGTACGGGGGAGGCCAGAGGTGGGGGGGGGGAGGGAATAAATATATGTCATCATGAGCCCCACAAACATAAGATGACAGGGAAGTCCTCTGCTATTCTTCCCTTTCAGATCAATAAATAACTTTTGGCCAAGGCTGAACGACTCTAGTGTCAGTTTTTGTTTTTTTTTTTAACTGATTTTCCTAGGACATTCCTTCCTCTGTGAACTCTTCACCTTAGAAGAAAAGTTACAAACATGAGCCAATGTGTAGTTTAGAATCTGTCGCCAAGTAGGGTCTGCCCCAGGATATTCCAAGTTCAGGGACGGCAGAATAGGGACACCAATCATCTGGTCTATAATTAAATCTTGATCTCAGCTAATCGAAACTGTCCAAAGCAGGTGAGATGGATGCCATTAAAAGCAGGTTGTCTGGGGCACCAGGCTGGCTCATCTGATGGAGCATCCGACTCCTGATCTCAGGGTTATAAATTCGGGCCCCATATTGGGTATAGAGATTAGATAAATCTTTTTTTAAAAAATAAAAGCGTGTTTTCTAACATAAATCCTATAGCTTGAAGGCCTATAATCCACCAGCAACGATTAAAAATATATGATGGTTTGAGAGACCGAAGGCTGTGACATTCACCTTTTCTGCAGGCAGAACATAAGAGATCTTAGGATTAGGTATAAGATGAAAGGAGTATTTTCTTAATAAGGAGAGTACGGTGCCAAAGTGAAAGTAGATTCTTTGGGGGCTTTGGAAACAGAAAGACTGTCACCTGTTTGTGGAGTATGGCTCTCCCGAAGGTAGCTAGTTTCTACAGGGACTCAATAATCCCAAGAACACAGTTACTATTTCTTTACTATTCCTTAGAAAATCAGGACCTGGTTACGGATTCCAAGATTTGAAGACAGAGATAAGTGGGACTGGGAAAAATCCTCATTCCACCAAACCAAGTAGAAATGCCAGTTGAAATTCTAAAAACCAGATTCTAAAATTGGGAGGGTCAAGGAAATATACAGCTGCTAGTGCTAGAGAGCAAGCATTTGTGAATAATTATCTTGAATTTGACATCAGAAATAGTTAAAATTTCATGGGCTACCATCCTTCAAGAGAACAAGAAAATAAAATGTAAACTATGACTACCCCCCTACCCAACAACCCATAGGTACGGTGCTTAGGGTCTTATTTGGAAGATGGGTTTCTGGGGGAGTTCTGTGAAAAGCTCCAAAATCTGGAAACAAATTTGTAAGCATGCATGCATTCTATAAGGTATGTACACTGTGTAAGGTAGGTACTCTTCTGAGGTTTTCAATAGATTTTCTTGAGGTCCATGATAATAAAAAGTAAAACCTATAGGCTTCTGGAATTGCTATTTGAAGGAAGGTTGTCAAAAACAACCATACAGCACACATGTGCAGGGGAAAGTGTGTGTTGAAGTATAGGTGGGTGTGAACAAGCCAGCCCCTTGGCATCCCATCAATTTTAAGCATGAACTTTCTGGGTTACACCCTTGTTTTCAGACCTCTTCAAATCTGGCCCCCCAGCCCACTGGACGACACACCATTACACTCTCTTTTAAGGGCTTCTGGCTGTCACTTTCCCTCTGCACAACCAGCCTAGCACCGATCCCATGACTACCTACTTTCTAGTTTCACCTAGGCAACTGTGACCCCCTTCACCCCACACTTTCTCTCTGGATGTACTCACTGGTAGTCATTTCTCCTCTACTCCCCATTGGACCCTGCCCCCCAGATCTTGACAAATCCTTGGTCCCTTCCAAGGCTTACAGAAGGCCTTCCTGATAGACCTGGACAGGTCTCTCTCCCTTCTGGTTTTTCAAAGATGATACATTTTTGCCTATTCTCTACCTAACCGGCACAAAGATGGAATAGCCTTTGGTCTCAGGCTCATTCTCCCAGTTCAGTGGGAAAAATCCTTTTTTCCCAAAAAAGCGAGGGAAAAAAAAATTTCACGCTATGAAGTCCCAGAAGCAATACTGTCAGCGAAGAGCGTATACTCAAGCTAACATTTTGTTTCACATCCTGACCTCGGTTTCTACAGAAAGGCAGTAACTTAGGGGGTTATGGTAATAAAAGAATGCATGCAAAAAACTTAACCAGTGTTAAGCAGGGAGTATGAATGCTTGATACCGGACTGAAGCTCATTGTGCCCAAGTTAACGATTCTCAAGCTTTTGTAAGCTGCTAACACCTGCTAACACTGTGTCATTCGTTTACCACACATATTTAATCCTCATGGGGACCCTTTAAGGGAGAAACAACTTTCCTCCTTCTTAGCTAAGGGAAACTGAGGTTCCATGAGGTTAGGTACCTCAGCCAAGGTCTCCAGTATCTCAAAAGGCTGAGCCAGCATTCAAAATGTATTTAATTCTAGAGTTCATGGCCTTAAAGCTACATTTCTTCCCTTTTTGTGTATCTGAAGTCTTTGAGCCTCTTTTCCCTTTTCTGGAAAAAAAAAAAAAAAAACCAACCAGGAAAATGACTAGCTCGTGGGCCCACAGGGAGGGCTGACTGGGAAGGTGCAAGTGCTCCCTGGGCTGTGGCCATCATTACTGCGTTCCTCCTCCGACCAGACAAGACGCTGGCCCTGCCTGCCCCTCGAATCACGGCTCTGCTCTCTTGGCCCATGTTTCCTCTTCCCTTACAGGAACCAGGAGGTAGGAGAGCAGCAGAGAAGGGCAGCCCCCAGCTCAGGGAGGGGGATAATTTTAGCAGAGAATCCCTGGCAGAGGTAGCGGGGGGGGGGGGGGGGGGGGGAGGGAAGAGAGCTATGAAATTCAACCCGATACTCTCATTCAAGGGCGGGGTGGGAAGGTCACACAATCCGGGTCAGAAACCAGTGCCTCACTCTGTAATTCTAACATACCACACCTCCAGAAAGCTTGCCTATGCTGGAAATGGGCACTTTGCTTACTCCCACAGCTCCAGTAATATCTTAACCTCTTCCGAGACTTTGCATCTCTTCCTCCCCTGAGGACAGCCCCTGCTTTCTCCTGCGGTGTAGCCAAGCAGCATCAGCAGGCTTTTCATGCCTTCCCTGTGCTCTTCAGCCAATTCTCCTCCCTCCACTTGCTGAGATGCTTCAGCTCAACTTAATCTTTTTGATCTTCCTCCTCCTCCATATCTCCCAGCCACTTTTCCCCAGGTCCCACCGATGCTTCCTGCCAAGTTGTTCCTACAGAATTTCCCATCTCTTGTTAAGCCTCCATGGTCCACGTGCGCTTCCACACTTGCCTCTCCAGGCACACACTTTGGATATACTGCACCCCAAGAATTTCTCAACCGACAGAGCCCACTGCCTAGACCTCTTTCATGCTGCTCTGAGCTTACAGTCCACGTCCACTCTAGAAAACCTTAAAACCAACTTGGGACCGTGTAGATTCTATAATCCTCACCATCCTCCAATTCCAGCCCAATCTCTTCCTCCAGCCTCCATCCCCTCATTTACATAATCCAGAACCAACACTGCTTGCTAATGACTTAGATCTCCTCTGATTTGAGAAATCCCAGTATGCCAGCTATATTTTGGGTAGTTGCCTGTGGCCATGACAGCTGAGATGGGCCCCCACCTTTATATGTAACAAAGATTATGGCAGCAAAGGAAGGGTGTTCAGCTCTGGGTACACCTTGGGAGGTGGTGAGGAATGCTGTAAGGGGCCAAGCAAGTGAGAATATGTGAGCTTCACAAGATTGTGTGTGGAAAAAGAGATGTCAGGCACACATCACCAATAAATATGAGCATTTATTTGGCGCCTAAAGGCAATATAAAATCCTGGCAGTGGGAAACGGAAAGGTTCTATCACCTAAATACTTCCATATGATACTGACCCAAGGGCAGGACTCAGCAAGTCTCCAAACCCCCCAGCTCAAAGAACAAGTATTTATTGAGCACCTGAACTACTACAGGCTGAGCACTGTGCCAGAGACCATGGGAGATGCAGAAGACGTTGTCTGACACACGACATCTGTCTTCATGAGCTAGTAGTTATCAGTGGATAAAACAAAACACACAGAAAAACCTAGAGTATAAATACTAAACTGCGTATATTGTTTAAGGGAAATTTTGTCCAGAAGTACGACTCTAGCTAGGGTTGCTTTCTTCCTTCCTTCACCCAAAAACATTTACTGAAGACCTACCATGTGCCAGGCACTGGGTATATATTGGTGAACAAAAGAGACAGAGACAAAGTTTCTATCCTCAGGGAGCTTACACCCTAGTAGGGGAAACAGAAATGAACAAGTGAAGCAAGCAAATACGTGATTATAAATCATGCTAAATGCAATGAAGAAATTAAACAGGACATAGTAATAAAGAAACATGGAGGATTATTTAGAGATAGAATGGCCTAGGAAGGCCTCCACAAGGCGGCATTTAAGCTAAAAGTTGTGAGGAATGGAGCTCAGTAGACCCCAGGAGAGTATCTGCAATGATCCAGGGCAGGAAAGAGCTCAGAATGTTTGAGAAACTGAGGATGGCACCAGGGCAATCACTTAGAGGGAAATCAGCCTTTAATGAGGTTCAAGGGGAAGGTAAGTTAGGAGTTTGCACATTACTTCAGGCGTAACAGAAATCTTAGCAGGGGAGTGACATGATCAGATTTGCATTTAAAAACCCAAAACCAAAATCTGTCACATAGAGATTAGATTGGTGGGGGCAAGAATGGAAGAGCAAGAGAAGTCCCTGAAGAACAGGAAAAGCACAATGTATGGCACAGACACAGAAGGCTTCTAGGGGATACAGCACATACAGTGACAGCCTCAGATGGAGACCTGGGAGAAGGGAAAACAGGCCATATAAAATCAAAAGGGGATTTAATACTGAAACAGAAAGCAGGAACAAGCTACTATAGCCGTGAGCAGCCGAATGATCCAATTAAGTAGTATTTTAGACAGATGTGGTGGCAGCAGTAACCAGGATGAGATGAAGGTGAAAGGGGAGAAACAGGAAGTAGGGAGATAACTACTGGGATGCTTTTTTTTTTTTTTTTGGAAAGGGACATTTCAGAGGAAGCAAAAGATAAGGTGACAGGTTACAGCGTATGAGGAAGCATACCACTCTTATCTGCCTCTGCTAACACTCTCTCCTGAGGTTCGTCTCAGTAACCAAAGAGAGAGAAACCGATTAAGAAAACTCTGGAACTTCCCTGGGCAAAGATCAACAAATTCCAGGGATAAGGTATCCAAGCTGTAACCTCTGAGAGGCTGGTCTTCTCGAGCCCAAAGGAGCCAACTGCGGAGCAGAGAACCCCGGCCTTCCACTGGGTGGCCTTGTGGTCCCGACCACACCCGCGGCAGCAGTGTGCCGCCAGTCCTGTTGGCCCTTTCGAGGCAAAATGGAAAACGTCTACGTTGAATCAGGACACCTTCCAAACTCTCAGTCTGGGATAAATGGGGTTGGAATATGAAAGAAAAAAAAAGACAGGAGATGGTCTCTGAAATGTCTTAGCTAACGTAATAAAAGCAATTACCAAAGTGCTGTCTATCAAAGCCCTCGGGCCAGGAAGCAAACACAAGCGGCAGGGAAACCCACATGCCCTCTCCCTGTAAAGATGCTGTGTTCGCAACATCATCGGCCAGGCTGCTCTGCTATCGCAGCCTGTCGGGCCAGAGCCAGCTCTGCAGGGAGGGAGCCGCCACAGGAAGGACTGGCCTGTGGCCCGGCACGCCCAGGCGGAGGACAGGCGTGCTCCACAAGCCCCAAGGTTCCCAATCCCTGAGGGGGAAGAGAAACCGTGTGCCGGAAGGGGAGAGGCCCCATCAGGCCTCCACGTGGCAGGGCCGTGGGGACGGCGTCACGTGGGAGGGTGGCCCGGGAACAGGTAGAGGTGGCGGCACAGGGTACTGCAGTACTCAGACATCTCCTTGCAGCGGTGGAACTCCGTGCCAGGGGCGTAGCCCTCACGCTCCTTGATGAGCCCGTTCACCTGCAAAGACAGAAATCCACGGTCCCCAGGCTGAGCATCTGGGCGCGAGAGGCAGGCTGGAGAGATGATGACAGACAGGGCCAGGGTGGAGGAGGGCGGAACCCAAGCAGATGGAGCCCGAAGGAGGCAACTGACCTTCACGAGCATGTCAGCCACATGCATGTCACAAGCCCTCTCAGAGAACACCTGGGTGAGGGCCTCAATGTACCAGGAACCCCGTTTGGTGTTCCGCATGGCGGCAGTGCCTGCAACAAGGACGGAGTCTCCCACAGTGTGAAGGTCACGGCACAGCTCACACGGCTGGACGACCCAATCTACGGCACCCTGTACCCTCCCCCTTCAGAGAGCGGGGGGGGGGGGGGGGGGGGGGGGGGGGGAGGTGCGCGTCTCTGAGAGCGCAGTGTCTGACTTCCCTCTGGGAGCTCCGAATACCTCTGAGGCAGGCATAGCCACAGATCATGTCTGAGCGCGTGGGCAGTCGGGTCTTCAGCAACTCCTCTCTGCTGGCGTCACTTTCCTCACACTCAGAGGATCCGGTGTGGTTCTTTCCATCTTGCTGGTCCACCCCACGGTCCGTTTCATCTGTAGCAAAGGCAGACAGAATGGACAGAGACGTTATTTCCTCCCGTGGCTCTTGGGCCTGCCACAGGCAAGCCGGAGTTCCCTGCCACCTTGACTGGGAAGAGCCATTTCCAGCTGCTGCCTCCAATCTCTGGCTGACGAATTAAAGAAAAAAAAAAATCATTACTCCCATTCCTGCCCAGCACGCAGCATTACTCAGGAAGGCACCCAGAGGCCCGGCGCCATGCTCAAGCATCTGCACATACATGAGGTCTGAGCTTCATCCACTCTGCGCAAGATGGAAAGTGCCGATCAAACACTCCTTGTAAACAGAACTAAAAATCCCATGTCCATAATTTATTTGTTCAATTAGCAATAGACCTGGAAGTCACAGTGCTTTTTATGACAATACACAATTAAATACTGACAATTCAGTTTTGTATATAAATAAGAAAACCAAGTTAATAAACCAATAATATGATTACTACATGCATGCTATGTAAAAATCACCTCAAATGTATGTATCAGTAAAAAAATTTAAAAAACCCTAAATGTGATCAGTTTCTAAGTCTTTGGTATTTTTAAGTTACTTACTCCTTATTAATTTCATAAGCCAAATTGTGGCAGGCATCGAAGATTTAAGAGAAATTTGTAAAAGGAAAAACTTAAAAATTGGGATAATTAGACTTTTCTTCGTTATGATTGAAAAAGAACACCATTAATCAATTTTAGCAGTTTTCAACATACCCTGACTACATGTCCAAACTCCTGACCCAGGCCTTATCTATGCCCAGATATATCTTTATTTGGACGTTGCAGTTTTATTTTGGAGGTGAGTGGGGATGCGGTCAGTAGGAAAAAGAGACAGGGAGGGCACACAGCCCAACAAACCAAAGATAAGAGAGCAAAGTCTTTTACAGTATTCCTGCTCCATGCAACACTCGAGAGAGCCCAAAAGGCAAGTGAAGCTCGAAGAACTATGGGGAAATGACCAAAATTCACTGATCCCCAAAAAAGTTACTGAGCAACTGCCATGTGCCAGGCACTATTTCACATTAAGCCTTAGGGATTTAAAGATTCCTGCCCTTATGGAGCTCACACTCCAGGCAACTGGGGAAGGGAGAGTAATTTTACAGACATCAGTTATATTAATGAAGTACAACAGAGGACAGGTGAGCTCAAATCTTCAAAGGTCATCTCTGGAAGGATTTAATTTTAAGAGAGAAGATTCAGATTACCCCAGAAAAGAGCAATTTCTCCTATCCAGATCTGATACTGTATATATATCTCTGAACACAGAAGAGAAAATGATCATAAATGTCTTTATTTCATTTTATTTTGCCAGTAATACCTCCTGAAGGAAATAGGCCAAGCTAAATGTGTCCCTCAAGGAAAAGGAAACTTCTTTCTTGCCTTCATGTCTCAGATCTATTAATCAATAAGTGTTATTGCTTCTTCCAGTAACACAATATCCCATCTGTTTTCTGTATGACTGCTACAGTTTTTGAGGAGATTAATTTTCATCCCTTCATTCAATATTTATTAAGTGCTACCATGTATCAGGCAGTGCCCTGGGCCTGGGCATCCAGCTGGTGAATAAACACTAAGTTCCTGTCCTCACATACTCTTTCCTCACTGCAGCTCCCCAGCCTGGTAATCGTCCTGGAAAAGAATCCATCACATTAATTTTCTGAGCTACCAACAGCTCCACACTACTATCTGCTGAAGTCCAAAATCTCAGTCTGACTAAAGGTTAGCTGGATGGACGGATGTACTGCCTGTAGCCAGCCTTATCTTACTACACACCTAGATGCCACGCCTTTAAGTCGGCTCCCGGCGGACTCCTGGCCCAGCACAACATTCTGGGGGAGGGAAAGGGGTGTCCTTTAGTCCTGGTGTGTGTGTCACCTTGTACCCGTTTCCTCTGAAAGGCCCTACATTTACTACTCCATACCTACGTAGATTTTATCCTTCTGGGTCCAAATTAAGCCTTACCACATTAAAATACTTACTACATGTCTTCAAACTAAGCCAGCTTAAAACAATCTATTCCCCACTGCTTACTCCTTCATATGTATGGCTTGTATCTCACTAATTTCCCCCTTGCTTGAGGCCTCTGAATTATTCTCAAACTACTTCATGTATACTTGCTTTATCTTTCTAGTAATTGGTAGGCTCTTTCAAGAGACATATTTTCTTTTTCTTTTTCCCTTTTTTTTTAGATAGCAGCAGTTTGAGAGACCACACATTTTCTTTTGCTTTTGTGACAGTATCCTAGTCATGTTGTAGGACCTTAATAAATTATATCCTTTGCTGATATTAGGAAGATATCAACAATGTTAACCACTTACATTTGCTGAACACACGAAGAGGAAAAGACATTATTTGAATGTTAGGACAAAGTGACTTTAAACCAAACTATAAGCCCCTTGAGGGCACTGACCATACTGTAACAGTCACGGCTGGTCTTTTCTGTGGATCGACTATGAGCCTACTGTGGTAAGCAAGCCCTTAGTATGTATTATCCCATTCAATTATCATAACAACCTTATGAAGTACGTCTGATCGCCACCTACATTTTATTTTTTTTATTTTTTTAAGATTTTATTTATTTATTTGAGAGAGAGAATGAGAGAGAGAGAGAGAGAGCACATGAGAGGAGGGAGGGTTAGAGGGAGAAGCAGACTCCCCGCTGAGCAGGGAGCCCGATGCGGGACTCGATCCCAGGACTCCAGGATCATGACCTGAGCCGAAGGCAGTCGCTTAACCAACTGAGCCACCCAGGCGCCCGCCACCTACATTTTATATGGAGGAAATTAAGGTGGAGGGACATCAAGTAACTTCTCTAACTTGATATAACTAGTCAGTGGTTAGAGCTTTTAATTATTACTGTTTCCCTCTAGGAGAAGAAGTGTGTCCGCATGTCTTGGAGGCTAGTCTTGGCATCCTGGCTCTTAGGAGGTAAGAGACTGCATTCGAGAAAGAGGACGGAAGCAGCTCAAGGACGAGTGAGAGCCAAACCCTGGCTTGAGGCTTCTGCACTGCTGGCCTGCACGGTACACGGACGAAGCCGAGAAGGGGGCAGATGAAAAGAGAAGAGGGGAAGAGGGATGGAGAAAGGCAAAGAGGAAGAGTACGAAGGGAGAGAGGAAGAAGAGACAGACAGAAGCTCCTTAACTGCACTGAGTGACAAAGACAAGCACACCGGAGTTAAGAGCACAGGAGTGAGGGTCCCCGGGAGAGAAGGCGAAGGCACGCGTAAGGAGTCCTGAGAGGAGGGCGTGGTGGTGCGCGTGGTGGTGCGCAGAGCTGCCCGACCTGAGAGCCTTGGGCTGCCCAAGCCCCAGCACGCCCCATGCACCGGGAGACACTTACAGAGCAAGAGAGGCCGTGGCAGCAGTGAACAGAAGGAGGTGCCCAAGGGATCCAATAGCACCTGAGAGGAGCAAACAGGAAAGTGAGAGCTGGTGGGAGGCTGCCCAGGAGCCACCACCCAGGTGCTGATCGGCCAGGGCACTCACCTCCACGGCAGGCCTGGATGAAGAACATTTTCGGCTTGTTCTGAAGGTTTGGGCAGCTGGCGTTGTCAAAGAGCCGAAAAACCTCTTGAAGCTGCCAGAAAGAAAGAAAAGAGGAGGGAGGTTAAGTAGACCGTAGGCCTTCATGAGGCCTACATGTACCACAGCAGCCGTTACTGGAGAGACGGGCCGGCAGGAGGGGAGGGGGCCTAGCGTGAAGAGCTGTCAGCCACAAGACGACACACACCTGAAGCAGTCTGCCATCCACACCATAGATGCCTCCCTCCACACCATGAGAGAGAAGCGCCACGACACAGGAGTCAGTGACACGGTGGGCAGGTAACTGGGCAAAATTCTGAAGTTTCTCTTGCATTTCCTAGAGAAAAAACACCTTTTAGTGTTGTTCACTGCAGTCTGCACCAACATAATCTTTCTTTGGTGTCTGAAACCCTAAGCCATTACAAGAAAAAATGTTTTCTGTATATTACTGTGGTCAATGAGAATTCAGAGACCCTAGGAGAGGCCAAAAAAGCTACAGACTCATCAGAAAAATGCATGACTTCAGACACAGAATTCTGATTATAATTTCACAAAACCCAGACTCACTGTTAAGAACACCTGGACTAAACCAAGTTACTAATAAAGCTAGTTTATGAGCTAGTTAACTTTATCCACTCCCCAATCATCAACCCGATCCTTTTTTCTAGAGCATATAAATGGCACAAAGGGGACCACCAACTGAGCTATGAATGAGTAAAATACCTTTCCAGCCATAAGGAAATAAACCGTTCTGACAAAGGGCTAATGGAATCATGATAATAGAGAGTAATAGTACTTTCATGCTGTTTTCGGTCTGAGATTTTAAGTTCCCAGAGACATGATGATATCTGCATAAAATGCTCCATTCACAGAAGAGCACACTGTCTGGAGAACTCTGCACAGGGCCATGGCTACATACATGGGCTACAGGATCAGACAGACCTAGGTTTGACCCCTGGGTTCACAAACTGGAACCAGTTATTTGGCCCTTCAAAGCTCTAATACTCGTTTTGTAAGAAGATAATTAGGAGTAAATTTTCTCCAATTTCGTAAAGATTAAATGAAATACTACAGAGAAAGGATTTATAACGATGTCTGGCACATACTGCAAAGTTCTGCCATTATGATAATGTGCGTATCTAACAAGGAGTAGCAATGTTATTTTTTCAAAGAAACCTACTACTGGCCAATCTTGTAGTCCAACTTAAGAATCTTCTCTATGGTGCACCAGGTTGCCATATACGAGTATCACTCTACCTTAAGCATTTGGCCCATCCAATGGAAAGTTATACAAAATAGTAAATAATCTGATACAAACTATTAAACCTACGTCTTCCTCTACAACCCAAGAAGTCTGAGTGGTCTCTCCTATTTGAGACCAGAAGAAAGAAAACAAGTTCATTTTACTATGAATTTTAGTGAACTCTAATGAGTGTAATGATAGCAAACCAGGCAGGACAGTTATAGCAGAGCTTTACTTAACAGTTACCAGGTGCAGCTCCCAATAAAAAGCACACTTGTGTAATTGCAGCGGTTCTGGAAACTTGCAAGAAATGCAAAGTTTTGGGTCCCAGCAAACTCTGTTTTAATAAGCCCTCCAGGCGATTTTGACATGCTAAATTTGAGAACTACTGGTCTATTTGTTTGGAATACTTCTGTTTGCAGATAACTGAGAAAATTATATAGAAGACTTGAAAGTCTGTAACTGAACTGGAAATGAAGAAATTGGCTTTACTGAAAAGTATGTACACTTTCTGGGCAAAGAGAAGCCAATCATAATATTGGATATCTTAAGGTAATAAAAAGATACCCAGAACTCATTTAGTTCAAGAATATATAATCTCAAAAGAATACAGAAGTATGAATGTTCCTCTGGAGTTGGCCATAATAGAATTTTTTTTTTTTTTAAGATTTTACTTATTTATTCGAGAGAGAGAAAGGGGGGGGTGGAGACACAGAGGAGCAGAGGGAGAGGAAAAGCAGACTCGCTGCTGAGCAGGAAGCTCAATGGACCTGAGGGATCATGGGGGGAAACCTGAAAACCCTGGGATCATGACCTGAGCTGAAGGCAGACGCCTAACCAACTGAGCCACCCAGGCGCCCCTTTAATAGAATTTTAATCCAGAGTAGTTGATGTTAATTTTGCTGGAAGAAGGCAATAAAAATGTATATTTGGCATCTACTCATGAGCATTTTGAACTTAAGTGAGACTCTTAGGTCAGTAAATAGAGGACAACAAAGCCCAAAGTAAGAACACACACACTCAGTAATCAAATTTAATAGTACTAAACTGATAACTGGGCATTAATTCATTTGGGGGAAATTTTTCCAAAAGTAGATAGCTTCAAATAGGATCTCTAGATTTATTTCTGATAAAATTACAGTACTTCTAAAAATAGCAAGGTTCTTAACTCTTGCCTGGGTTTTTGGCTGGAGGTTGGGGGACACAAGGGAATAAACTATAAACCCTCTGAGATGATATGCAAAATTTTATGGCTAGCTGCATTTTCCAAGGATGACCCATAGAGCATCCTTACATTTTCAAGGCAGTCTGCGTCCCAGATGCAAGTTAAAAATCAATACCACATGGTAAAAGGAAATTTGCCACTTTAAAATATATCTCCTTTCCTAATATATGATAAATTGTAATTCTAGAACTAATAACCTCAGGAGGGAGGCACGGTGACAGAAGACTTTGATAACAAAGAGAAAAACTGAAAACCTACATAAGCAGTGAGAATACCACTGGTGTACTGTCCAGCACCATCAAGTGAAGAGGGTTATCTAAGACTGTACTACTTCAAATTTTTAAATGCAATTATTTCTAAAGTCAAAAGGTATAACGGGGGGGAAAAGGATCTTAATTTTTTTGGTTCTCTTTGCTCATCAAATAATCATATAATTAAAGAGTTGAGTCTCTTGAGAAGTCCTACCAGAAAGAAAGTACTCTGTGCGGATGCCCAAAGAACCAAATTATCATACCCATTGTAACTAACTACTTGGTTTTAACTGTATTGGAGAAAGTTGATAGGCCACAGCTGGAAACTGACTTTGCACCATCCTCCTCACATTTCTGAATCTCCAGAGCTGAGGACAAGGCTACACGGGGAGGGTTCTATTCCAAGGTTCAGTCCTATGCCTTCTGCTTTTGTTACTCTACTCTCCTCAAAGATCACATACTCTCATCCCTTAAAGTATTTCTCCTACACAGGTAATGCCCAAATTTACATTTTTGGCGCTGACTTCTCTGAGACCCTCAATTCCTTACTTAATTTTTCGATCTTCTTCCATTTGCAGTCATTCAACCACCTGATAGTACAATCATGCCATTATGTTATTTTCTACAAATATTCTTTCCCTCTTGGTCCACTATTCTGTCCAGGCTCCCAATATCTGGTATTGGCATTATATCAACTCCAAACTGGATTCCCTGCCACTGGTCTCTTACTTCATTCTTTTCAATGGTGCTTTGAATCATCACTGTGAATTTATCACCTTTCTGTTAAAAAAAAATTACTAATGGTTTTCTAAAACAAGGAAGTTCAAGGCCCTGGCATTCTGATCCCTTTATCTCCAATCTTATCTTTGGCACTCCTTCGCCCTAGGCAATTGGTTTACCCTAATGCCCCTAACATCACACACACATTTCCCCTCTCAGCTATTCTCCCTGTCTAGGACCCCTTCACCACTCCTCTGTGCTTAGTGGCTTCTTTCAAGGCCAGCTCAAGTCTCACACCGTCCATTTACCCTTTCGACCAGATCTACCCAGGGGACTGTTTCTTTTAACTACTGTAGAAGACACTGTCTACTCCTGCCTGGTCCTTCAGAATATAAGGGGAAGTACTTCCATTTTTGCTGATGTCAAGACTCCTCATCTAACTGATGTCCTGTGAATTTCAGATTCACATTAAAAAAAAAATTTATAGGGCGCCTGGGTGGCTCAGTTGGTTAGGCGACTGCCTTCGGCTCAGGTCATGATCCCGGAGTCCTGGGATCGAGTCCCATATCGGGCTCCCAGCTCAGCGGGGAGCCTGCTTCTCCCTCTGACCCTCTCCCCTCTCATGCTGTTTCTCTCTCTCTCTCAAATAAATTATATTAAAAAAAAAATTAAAAAAAAAATTTATATAGAAAACATAGTCCCCCACCATTATAAAGTGCTCAAAATTAATTTTTAAAGTAAGCTCTCCATCCAGCGTGGGGCTTGAACTCACAACCCCAAGATCAAGAGTCACATGCTCTTACACAATCATTCTCACAGAAGATAGCTAAGATACAAAAATAAAGACCACAGGCAATGCTGAGGACAAAACAGATTCCCTACCTTAACAAATCAAAGTGAATTTCCTAGAAACTTTGATTTTACCAGTGACATTCCCAAAGGCAAGTTTAAGAAAGTGCTATTATTCTGGAATCAAAATGATTCCAGGGGATGGGGGAAATAGGTGATGGGGATTAAGGAGTGCACTTGTCATGAGTACAGAGTAATATACGGCAGTGTTGAATTACCATATTGTATACATGAAACTGTTTTAACACTGTTAACTAACTGGAATTAAAATTAAAACTTTAAAAAAAAAGAGGAAAGGGATGGAAATGGAAAAAAAAAGAAGAATCAGTATCTACTTACCAATAGGCTATTATCATTTTCAACACAGAAATACCTACAGGTAACTAAGTCAGCAGTATAGCTCAGTAATTGGGGTTAACAGGGAATAATAATAGATAATGAAAATGCTGGTGATTTGCAGGAATCTAGCCTAGAAATAATCGCCCCTAAGATCTTTCTTGTGGTCACAGAGCTGGTAAGAGGAAGGAATTTCCCCATGTTAACTCATTAAGCTGCCACGGACAGTTCTAGCAAACTTCCATTTGCAAGAATGTCATCTGCCAAAGTAATCTTTTGAGCAATAACTGGACTTGTAAGCAACAATATCAAATCAAGAAGTAAATGTCCTGGGTCGCCCTGGCTTATAGATATCTTTCCTGATTGGCTGGCTGAATCTCAGAGTCTCCTCACATCCTGAGTGACTGGGAATCAAGTGTCTGAATATATAAGAGTAACAACCCAACCTGGGACTGGTATTACTCAAGGAGAGCACACTGACCCTGAGAAGTTAACAGTGAAGCAGCTGGTTGTCCCTAATTTTTTTTTTTTACTAGATTGCAAGGTGAGACACAGAACAGGATGAGTAAAAAGGTAAGGAGGAGAAAGTAACCTATCCAGTGGGCAGAGGAGCAGAGGATGTGCCTGGCCCCAGTGTTGCTCAGCTCTCCACTGTACACATTAGATGTACCTGTGCAGTCTGGTCAAGTAGAACATGGACTTTGTAGCCCAAGAGCTTGAAGAGGGTGACCAGAGTGCTGTGGTCCACATCCCCTCCAGAGCGAAATTCCAGGTCTTTCTCTCCAGTGAAGTGCACATTGCTCAGCACCAGTGCCAAGCCACGAGGCCGAGACCGCAACCGATAGGCCTGGCGGGGAGGGGGAGCCAATTAGAGCTTCTTATGGACAGAAACTGTTTCCCCAACTGAACGAGACATTGCAAGAAAACAAAGCCATCATATTCTTGTTCACCCCACCAAGTCAATATAGAGAAATGCCCAGAGAAGATAACCAATCAGTACTGACTTTCTGACCAACAAAACAAGGAGATATATATGCAAACTAAGTTCAGGTGCCCAGGAAGGGTGTCTCATTTCCCAACTTTTCCTCTTGCATTCTGTAGGACTCACCAGCTGGTGGTGTGTTTGATAAAACTCGGGAGTGCAAGGCTTCACCTGAAGGCATGGAGGACCATCTCCGTTGTCTAGGGAGTGTTCCACAGTATCTATGGCATAGAGAGCCCAAAAACTAGTGTACAATCTATGTGTCAATCCCAGTACTTCATTATAACCTAAGGCACCCTGTTGAACTGCGGTTTTAATAATTAATGGTTTTGCTCACTCCCCCATATTAGAAGATCCATGAGGCCAGAGACCCTGTCTACTTTTGCTCACCACTGGATCCTCTGCACTTAGCCCACACATAGTAGTGCTTGACCCCACCGAATGACTGGATGGGATATCTGATAAAAGCCTTGTTCTAATCACTAGGCTACTCAGTCAGCAGGCTAGTGGCCTATAATGTAGTCTCTTCTCATCCTAAAATAACAGCTTTAAGGAGCCAGACCAGTCATGTGGAGGAATTTCCTACCTGTACCAGTTGCTCTAAGGACTAACTGCCATAAAAAAATCATCTGTGATGGAAGGGAAGCAGGCCCAATCAATACCCCATCTAAACTCTCCTGCTAGTCCCTAACAAATTCACCAAGGAGACTGTTCCCAGTATGAATGAAAACAGGTATTGTGCTAGGGCAAAGTCAGATACCAATCAAGAAAGAGTCAATCTGTGGGATGTGTTATCCCATCAATTCTCACCTGGAGACAGGCGGAGCTGCTTGTGAGGGGGACAGGACTCACACATCGGGAAGGGGAGACTCAAGTCGTAGTCACAGCTCAACTGTAAGAAATCAGGACCCACCATGCCAGGCCTTAGGGAGATGGTCCAGTGTGAACAAAACCATAATCTAGTCTCCCCCACCCTATCTCAAAAATTCCTTTCCCACCAAACTAACCCTTCTCAACACACCACATATCTAGGGCTCCATACCGGTGGGAGTGCATGCGGAAGACCAGAGAGGGTTGTGAGCAACAGATCCTCCAGGTGACCCTGCTTGGTCTCCCTCAGGGCCACACAGAAGGCATCAAAAGCCTGGGGACCCCTCTTGGGCAGCAAGTTGAGAAGTTCCACATTTTGGCTGAAACTGCCCACTTTGGCCTAAGATAAAAGAATAAAACATGAAATCATATTTACTTATTCAGCTATAATTCTATTTCACCAGATGACCTTCCTAGTAATCTCAAGAATCCTTTTACAGGGAAAATATATGTATGGGAGAAGTCTTTCCTATTATTCTTAAATTATGTATGTTTTCTGTTAAGGGCTTTAGGGTAGAAGGGCATTTTCATTTCCTTAGTAAGGTTCTACATGTAGAACCTCATCATGTTCTGTTCCTACTCCTACGACCAATGTACTGACTTGGCGTTTCTCTTTTGCTTCCCAATACCTGAATATGCTCTCTCATTTCCAAGGTGATGATGTCCTTCTCCAGGAGGTGCTCTAACAGTTCACTCAGCAACAGTTGTTTGGCTAGCACCACTCGGTTCTTTTTCAGTGCTTCCTGATGGTCGGGATGCATGCCACACACTCCCAATATCCTACAGATAAAAGGCAGAGGGAAAAGCTGTCAAGTACAAGATTTGGCACAGAAGAGTGGAGTGGAAGAGGTGTGAGTAGGAAGAACAAAAAGAATGGGACTTACAATAACCAATATTAGGCATCGCTGGTTAAAATCAAAGTAGTATTAAGCAGTAACACAATAATCATAAGGAAATAATGTATAATTTTTTATGGAGTATGTTCCACCGAGACCATCTTCTGAGATGAATAGTCTGTCCAGGGGAGGGAAATACCTACCTTGACAAAAATAATAGACACGAAAGAAGGAATACTCCTCTGGCAGACCAATTTCAATTAAGAGATTATTCCAGAAAACCTTTCACATTATTTATCTAGGCTGCTAAAAATAATATGAGTTAAGATGATCCTGGGTGAGGAAGAAAATAATTTGATACAATGGCAAAAGCTCAAGCCAATGGCTGGCTTTAATAGGAAAAAATGAGACAGGCCGACACACACACATTACTCTCTAGCCCACTTCTACCAATTATACCTGTGGTCTTCAAAACTTTAGTTCCTATGACAAAATGACACTAGAAATAATCAGAATCCTGTAAAAATTAAGAACTGAGTAAGTAGCAAGTATGACAGAAAGTCAGAGTAGATAAATGACAAACACAATCAACATAACTTGAGATCACTTGAAAGAGTTAAAGCATAAAGGCTAAACTGTTTTGGTAATTTATTAGGGATGTCTTTATTTCAAGGATTCTTTGGTTTTGTTATTGGTTTGCAAAGAGATCAGCTTCTGTTTATGAGTTTTAAAAATCCCATTTCCAGCAAATACCATCTCTGTGCCTAGTTTATATAAATGCAGAGCTCCCCAGCTTAGTCAGTTTCCAAAAACATGACAACAATAAGGGCCTGATGGCAGTGAGAAAGGGATGAGGTAACAGCTTCAGTTTATAACTTAAAAACTACAGGGGCGCCTGGGTGGCTCAGGTCATGATCCGGGGGTCCTGGGATCAAGCCCCGCATCAGGCTCCCCCGCTCAGCGGGAAGCCTGCTTCTCCCTCTCCCACTCCCCCTGCTTGTGTTCCCTCTCTTGCTGTCTCTCTCTGTCAAATAAATAAATAAAATCTTAAAAAAAAAAAACTTTAAAAATGCATACTGATTTCAAAGATGTTAAAATATGTGTGTGTGTGTGTAGGGGGGTAATGGGCATCTTAATACCATGCATTTATAGGATGTACTTGGCTTAACTCTAGGTTAGAGGTTTATAGAGGAGTGAAAGGCAGAGTCCTGAAATTGCTGAGAGAGATCCAAGAAGATGGCATGTGGGACCCTGAGGCAAAGAAAGCTGTAAAACATTCCCAAGGCTTGAAGCAGCCAACCAGGGTTAAATTTGGGATTTGGGACAGTGATGTCTGAAACTCCATTTTAACTTCAGGTTTCTGTTCTCTAGAAATACTCCTGTGACCCCAAACTTTCAGTAGAAACCTGCTACAATACAACTAGAGAAATCAAAAAACCCATTTAAGAATCACCTTAGAAAACACCAAAGCAGTAACAATGATGGCATACAGGAAACTGGTAAAAATGTTATTAGACCAACTGCAAGACATCACAGCTGAATGCTGGATACATATCATTGGTGGGGCAGGTTTACTCAAGTTTCTTCTCTTATCAGTAGTGTTTTCTCCTTAAAACTTTCTCCTCCCTTGGTTTCCCTACTATTCTCTCCAGTTCCTCTCTCTGCCTACAATGTTCCTTTCCTTTACAAGATCTTTAACCTGCCCTTAAACGTTGACATTCCATTAGGCAGCCCCTCAAAGAGCCTCTCCCTATTTAATCTCATCCATACACACGATTCACTAATTCACTCCTGGTTCTTGACTCTTTCAAGTTCTAGACTTAAATTTTCAGTCAGTAACTCATTAGGTTTCATCTGAAGCATTATCCGTTCTCCACACCTGCTCCTTCCTGTATTCCACTTGAGAGTGAAAATCTCAAATAGGAACTTTGCCCAAAGTAACCATGATCACCTAGAACTTCAGGACCAGCTGGAAGGGGAGGAAGGAGAGGAGAAAAGGACACAAAGGGAATTCTTAAGTCTTGATTCTGTCTTTCTGCGGGTTCTGGTTCCAAAGTCCTAAATTGACCTCTGGGTCTAGACCACGAGGCATTAAGATGTTACCCTGGGTGATGCTTGCCATGAAGTCATATAACTGGGGCAGAGGCGGAGACACACTCGGAGTCTCGGAACCACCTTGTCCTTTCCAAGTACTCAAACCCCAAAGCCTGTGTCGACTGCTTTGAAAACCTGATCCTTACACCCAAAGCAATACGTGTCGTGATATAGCCAATCCAAGTCAAATGCACATCAGGCAGTATCTCGGGGTTTGCAAGTCTCGTCCGTTTTGTTAAGGGGACAAAGTAAAGTTCCTCATAAAAGAATAAGGGGAAGGAAACGATGGAGAGTCTTTAAGAGAAGCCGAGATTTGGCCGGACTGGAGAGCTCCTTCTGTTCAGAGGCCCCTTGGGTTGGACAAAGCAGGCTGGGGCGGTCGGCTCGCGAGGAACAAGGCCGACAGGAGGCCGCCGCTCGCGCGCCCCTCGGGGGCTCAGCCTGGCCTCCCACCCTTGGCAGCAAGGGCGGTCACGGCTGCTTCCAGGGACTCCGAGGGCTGGGGACGCCAGGGCCATGACCCGCATTCCCCTCCCTGGGCCTCACGAAGGACCTCTGCGACCCCCCTTCACTTACCTGCGCCCTCTGTCAGCGGCCATTAGCGCCTTTCGCTGCAGGGCAGGCCGAGAGCCCGCGCTCGGCGCCGCCATTTACCGCTTTTCCCGGGCTGTGCGCGAACCGCCCACAATCCAAACAAACCGAAAGCCCTCCCGCCCTCTGCATCCCTACCCCGTCCGCCAGCGCACGACGCGCCTGCGCGCTACTCCTCCTAGCTCCACCCCTACGCGAGGCCTGCCCCGCCCCTGCCGTCGCCGGTGCGCGCGCAGGCACAGAGCGCTCGCGCTGGATGTGCCGTCCAATGGGGTGAGAGAGCGCGCTTGGCGGAAAGGGAAGGGGCGGGGGGAAGCGTGGAGCCGCTTCGTCCTACGTGGGAATCCGATTGGTCGTTGGTTCCCGCGGAAATCACGGCTCGCTCTCCGGCACCTCCCACCCTGCCTCACCCGCCTATTGGAAGCACTCTACCGAGACCGGTTTGGCCGGACTTTGGACTTTATTGAACTATTGGGGCCAGGGTAAGGATGAGATGGAGAGCCCTGGGAGGCGTTAGACAGATACCGCACAGTGGATGAATGCCTAAGTGGGGGACACACCCCTGAGGAGGGTGGGTCATCGATGGTTGGGCCGCATCCAGTGGCTAAAACCTGCATCACAGCCACAGCACGATTCCAGAAAATCTGGTGTTCTGTTGGGATCCGAGGAAGCCGGACCAGGGGACTGGGGTAAAATCCTGTGGTCAGAGCGCAGGGGTGAGGCTTAACGGTTAGACACCGTGCGGGTGGCTCCAGCGCTTCATAGGTGATTCAAGAGGGAGCCTTAGATACTCCGCCACCCCTCGCCAAGCTCCTGTTTTATCCTTTCTGGCCCTCATCCACCCAGCTCAAAATCGGAAGCCCCTCCCCCTGAGGCAGTTTACTCCACTACTTCCCGCTAGGAAGCACTAGAGACTGCTCTTCAGCCCCTGGGCAGCAACTGCTCCCTACCTGGAGCACGGGCTGTCGCAGCTTTGATTAGTTTTGCTTATCCGGGAGGCTGGGCACACTCTTGGTCACACTCAGCCCACACTGTCTGCAGACACAACTATTCCACCATTCTGTCTATAGGAAGTCTCCCACCTCTGTCCAGCAGTTGTCCAAGATAGAGATTGAGAGATTTTGTGGATGACCTTGTAATTGAAAATACAATAGGATTTGGGATCAGAAGAGTACAGTTAATATCATTTTTATGCTGTTTACTAGGAGTGTGCCCCTGTGCAAATTCTCAAACTTCACTGTCCCTTGGAATCCTCATTTTTCAAACGAGGGTAGTAACATCTCACATGGCTGGAAAGCCTAATTGAGCCGGTAGACAGAAACACCCAGAACAGAAATAACATAGCTGTCACTCAGACGTTTCTTTTCGTCCTTCTCCAGATTCTCTGGATCACTCCTCTCACCCTCCATCTAACTCTGGAAATACCGGATATGGGGTAGGTCACTGAATGTTACCTGAAGACTCAAATTGTGCCACATACATCTCAGCTGGAAAAGGCTTACCATAGCCTGACTCCCCTCTGTGTTCAGTTCCCCATGCAGAAACACAGTTCCTGACACAGCAGGCACTGGGGACTGTTGGTCAAATGCATGAATGGGTCTGGTGCAGAGATGATATATCGTGGTAAAGTCTTTTAGGGGGGCGTCCAGTTGTTTTCAGAGAAAACATCATCATCAGGTTGACCAAAGCTGACATCATAGGCAGGGGGTGGAGTAAGAGGCTCCAATTTGGGGGGCACCTCCGAGCTCTGCAGATCAGGAGCAGTGGACATGACCCGGGATCCCCGAAGCCGAAGGCTGACTGGATCTCTTCCGGAGTTTTGTGGGGTCATAGACCCCTCTGAGCCCACTCGCCTTTCTAATCGGGCTCTATTGGGGCCGTCTGGATTGCTAGGCTGTCTTTCCTCAAGTTCTGGGGGGATTACAACACTGCTGTAGGGGGGTGGCTGATCCAACAGCTGGGGGCGGCATTGTGATTCCAACACCACAGCCTCTTCGTAGGTTGGCACCTCAAAGGCTTCATTGTCACTGAGGGAGAAGAAATAAGGTTACTGGTGTCCTCCTGAAAGGAGTCCTTTTTCCCTTTACTGTCATCTATTGGCAAAAGACTCACCCACACCTGACCCCACCCACCACCTCAAAGATACCAGTAACAGGAAAGCAGAGCTGTATGTCTGAGAGACTAGAGGGACACAGGGTAAAAGGGTCCATCGTATATTCCTAGAATTCTGTCCACCCCTTGACTCACCGTGCATTGCCTGAGGCCCCTGGGCTCTCCGTCTGCATTGATCGGAACCCCCATTCCAGAGAACAGGCCAGGAGGCAAACAAACAAAAAGAAGCCACCCAAGGCGAGAAAGAAATAAGCAACAGGGGCGATGTCCGGCCGTATGCCCAGTAAAACCAGCCCCAGGAGGAAGGAGGTGCAGCACAGGAAGAGAAGCGGCTTCTCCAGTCTCCCCCACAACTGGGTTGGCACCATGGCCCCTCCCCAGGCTCCTGCAAAAAGACACACAGGTGTGTCTAAACCAGCAATTGGCGTCCCGTCTGGGTCAGATTCCAAAGTAGCCATATTAGACACCTTTAGGTTTTAGGTTCTTCAGTCTCAAATCAAATGGCTCAAATATATGATCTTCAGAGTTCCATTCAGCTTTGTAATTTTCTCTATGATCACAGTGCCGTCCCAAGATATCAGTATGTGTGGAGTAGCCAGGAAATAAAAGTCCGGGAGCCTTCATGCGACTTACTGTGTCATGGCCCTGCCTTCCTTCCTTCTTCCTTCTTTTCTGCAGTCTCCCTTCCAGCTCTATCTTTCTACACCATCCAAGACTCAGTCTTGGCTGGCCCTGCCTGGGGCCTCCGTGCTCACCAGCATCTGTGGAATCCAGGTGATGAGGCAGGCCCTGGCTTTTCTCTGTAATTGCTCTGCATTGGACGTCCACCCTACCTGCCCCCATCTCCCCAGTTAGACCCTGTTGGGGAGGGAAGCTGGGGAGGCAAACCCCATCTTTCCATTTCCTCCACTCAGCCCATGCTCTGTTTGGGGGGAGAAAGTGCCCATGGATGTAACAAAGGGACACAACTATGTGAGAATCTTACAAGGCCTAGGGCAATGGACAGAGGCCCAGATAACTCCTGATCTCTCCCTATCTGCCAGGGTATCCCATCCTCTACCGGCCTTAACTCAGTAAGCTCAGATTTCAAGTTTCCTGTCTGTAGTCACCGCAAGGGCTAGGAAGCTGGTGGGGGGAAGCCTTCTTTTCCCTCTCCAACACGGCTGCCACGCCTAGGCAGCAGCACCCCAAAACCAACCCATTAGGAGTTCCCTGAACTCTGCATAGCAAGAATCCACAGACTCTAGGTAGGGACCAGACCCCCTGCTTGAACCCTAACCCCAATCCCATGGCCCTCCTGCCCTTCTCACCGGTGTTAGGAATTCCTCTCTCACCTGTCTGGACCGACTCGGCAGAAAGTAGGCTGCAGGGGAGCGGAAGGTGGGCGGGTGGAGCCCAGTGGCTCCACCCACTTGTCTGTTCCAATCCCTCAGTTCCTGCGCAGGCTTCCTCCTCCCCTTTCTGCTTACCTAGTGGTGCTATTGCCCCACCTTGATTTTTTTGGTTTTTACACCACCCACCCCCTACAGTGCCTTAATGAGAGTGCTCCTGCGCCCCCGCCCCACCCCAATGATCTTTGTACTTAGGACCAGAGTTATATTCAGTTTCCTCTTTTCTTCTCAATGCGCACTGTTTTCTGAGTAGTTTGTCTTCTGTTTAGGTAATATATGTTATGCTTGGAGCTGAGGCCACGGTTTATTTAATCTCTAGATCACATAGTGCTTTGCAGGATTTGCTGTGGCATGGAATGGCGGGTCGTGCTTCAGCTGCCAAAGTACCATTTCTTTGAACTTGTTTTTTGCAGACCTGTAAGACGTTTTGGTGTATGGTTCTTGGCCCAGTTAACTCTTATTCTTCAAAAGTCACGTCCAAGGTGATGCCTGCTCTGGAGGCTGTCTCCACAGTGTATCCACAGCATTCCTTCCTACCCCTGTTCAAGCCTTTAGGTGTTTCTATAGTAATTTTCTATTTACATACCTTTCTTCCACCGTGAGCTTTTCAAAGTGAGTGATTAGTTTCAATAAATTCTGAATCCCTGCAGTTGACATGGTTCCTGACACAAGGTAGATGCTCACTAAACATAGCTGAATGCTCTCATTAGAAGGCTGCCATCTTGCCTGGCCTCACCACACACTGGAGATCCAGGACCCGCTCTTATTTTTCTTTTTCTTTTTAAGTTTTTATTTATTTATTTGAGAGAGAGCATGAGCAGGGGGGAGGGGCAGGAAAAGCAGGCTCCCTACTGAGCAGGGAGCCCCACATGGGGCTTGATCCCAGAACCCTGGGATCATGACCAGAGCCAAAGGCAGACACTTGACTGAGCCACCCAGGCGCCCCTATGACCACTTTAAGGGGAATCCTGGTAATAAGTCTAGGTGAGGCAGGTGTTGGGAGGTGTAGAGGATGGAGGCATACTTTATTCTTGAGACACAGAGAAGGCTACAGGGCTGGGTTCCAGGCCTTCAGAGTGTTACCATTGGACAAACCAAGGGGAGTAGGAGATAATGGGGCACAAATATAATCCCAAGGACAGTCGTGGGGCACAGCCAGGGCTGCTGCATCAGAGGATGTGTGGAGTGTGTGTGTGCGTGTGAGAGAGACAGAGTGGGAGAGGAGAGAGGAAGGGAGGGAGGCAAAGGAGGGTGAGGGCGCCTGGAGTGGAATGCAGGTGTGTGCAGCGGTGGAGTGTCCATGATGACTCTCTGACCAGATAGAGGGGAGGGAGGACGTGTAACAGGAAGGCTGTGGCAGTCCGAATGAGCTGTGTCGCTATACGAAGTGGGAATGGAGAGTAGGGGGAGAGCTGGTTGTTGTTTTGTTTACATGAATTTCCATACTGTTTATCGCATAGAAGGCGAGTATAACTGGGGTCAGAAGGATTTGCATCTGGGGCACCTGGCTGGTTCAGCTGTTAAGCAGGCAACTCTTGATCTCAGGGTCTTGGGATCGAGCCCCACGACGGGCTCCCTGCTCGGCTGATGCTTAACAACTGAGCCACTCAGGCGCCCCTGGAGAATGAGATCTTTGTAGCATAAGGCTCTCGGTTGCCAGAAGGGGCCTCCACTAGAAAGACTTGCTAGTTAAGAACCAGTTCCAAGTCAGGAAGGTTGGACTGCTGGCTGGCTGTGCCTTTAATACATTCTCTATCACAATAATTTTAAATAGATTTTCTAAAAATTCAATTTTTATACTTTTACTCTTTATTTGAGGGGGCGGGCAGAGGGAGAGAGAATCTTTAAGCAGACTCCCCGCTGAGCATGGAGCCCGATGCAGGGACTTAATCCTAAGACCCTGAGATCATGACCCGAGATGAAATCAAGAGTTGGCTGCTTAACCCACTGAGCCACCCAGGTGCCCCTAAAAATTCCACTTGTTAAATATAAAATCTTGCAAAATATTTAAAGGTCATAAAGAAAAAAAATCATCCACAATCTCCTTATCCTAACATGGCCATTTAAAATTTCTACACATTTCTTCTAGTCTGTTCACACACTGGTTGAAATGATCTCTGGTTGAAATCAGAGTACTCACGGGGCGCCTGGGTGGCTCAGTCGTTAAGCGTCTGCCTTCAGCTCGGGTCATGGTCCCAGAGTCCTGGGATCGAGCCCCGCATCGGGCTCCCTGCTCAGCCAGGAGCCTCCTTCTCCCTCACCCAGCCCCCTGCTTGTGTTCCCTCTCTAGCTGTCTCTCTCTCTGTGTCAAGTAAATAAATAAAAAATCTTTAAAAAAAAATCTACATTAAAAAAAAAGAAATCAGAGTACTCACCATTTTGTATTTTTAAAAAAATTTAAACATTGGATCATATATAATTGATCTTTTGACACAGTCTTTGTTGTGGTAATTTTTAACAGCCACATAATATTTTATTGAATGGATTACCATAATTTAACATGGCTTTATGTTATGTTACTTGGTAGCATTGAGTTTATTTTGTTCAATTTTTTTTTTTTTTTTTGTCATCAGATGTTTCAAGAGACAGAAAGTAGATTAGTGGTTGCCAGGGGCTGGAGAGAGGGAAGAAATGGGGAGTAACTGCTAATGGATTTCTTTTAGGGGTAATGAAAACGTTTAAAAATTAGTAGTGATGTGGGGCATCTGGGTAGTTCAATCAGTGAAGCATCCGATTCTTTTTTTTTTTTTAAGATTTTATTTATTTATTTGAGAGAGAGAGAATGAGAGATAGAGAGCACCAGAGGGAAGAGGGTCAGAGGGAGAAGCAGACTCCTTGCTGAGCAGGGAGCCCGATGTGGGACTCGATCCCGTGACTCCAGGATCATGACCTGAGCCGAAGGCAGTTGCTTAACCAACTGAGCCACCCAGGTGCCCAGAAGCATCCGATTCTTGTTTCAGCTCAGGTCATGATCTTGGGGTTATCGGATGGAGCCCCTTGTGGGGCTCTGTGTGTAGCCTGCTTGGGATTCTCTTTCTCCCTCTCTCTGCCCACCTCCAAAATAAATAAATCTTAAAAAAAAATAGTAGTGATGCTTGCACAACTCTGAATATGCTATAAAAGACCCACTGAATTTTACACTTTATAAGGGTGAATTATGCTTCCATAAAGCCTTTTAAAAAATGATGCTACAATGAAACTCTTCTTACGTGTAGTTTTACCTTCTTTTTGGATTATTTCCTCCCATTAAATTCCAAGAAATGTCATCGAGACAAGCAACGTGAAAGAAAGATTTTTGTTTCCTTGAATACATATGGCCAAACTTCTTCCCCAAGGTTTTACTTTCCTTTTTCATCAACTTAGTATCCTTAGCAAAATATAGATGCTAAAGATACTATTGGTCATTCTGCTTTCTACTTGCCTGCCTCTACAAACCACCATGTTAGGGGTTGGATTACTGCCCTAGGCGGGCCCACTATGCCCACCTCATTTTGGGAGGGGATAGTGAAGGGAGGGAAGTAGGAGGTTGGTGGGGAGGGGGAAGCAGAGATAATCGACAGACTTCCTGTGAAGCGTAGTTGATGTCTACCACTGTGCACTTCTCTACGCCTCCATATTCTTGTGATTTTGTGTTTCTGAATCTGAGTTTGCTTTATACTTGTAGCCAACGTGTATGGAGTGTTTTGTGTACTGCTCACTGTGCTAAATGCTTTATACAAATTAAGTAATTTAAAATATAATGTAATAAGAGGTAGTTGCTGTTATTATGTTCATTTTACAGGTGAGATGAGAAACTTGAGGAAAATGTATAGCTAATCAAGGGTGGGGCCGAGATTTGAACCTGTAGTCCCAGTCAAGAAACCTGGCTCTTAAACACTATGTCATCCGACTCTAAACACTCTTTTTGGCTGATTTAATAATGATAATTTAATAAAACACCTATGACATTCTAAAATCCTAACTCTGGGGTCTCTCCTGGAGGAGTGGTTAGATGCTATTTCCCCACTGTTTGGCATCTTAAAATGCTGACCATCAGAGAGCCAAGGCAGCAAAAGAGATTATCAGAAGATTAAATAAAATTATCAATATGTAAGGCAAGAATGGGAAATTAGGATTGCAGGCCCTGTATCAGGATGTTTATCTTTTATGATCTAATTAAGACTGATTACAAAAGGTAAGACTTTTACTTGAATAGCTCTAGACTAAGCCCAATGTGCAGGTGACTTTTTAAAAAAAGAATGTGTAAGAATATGTGTGTATGTTTGTTTGTGTGTAGAAACAAATTGGCCCAATCTCCTTTGATCCTTGACAATCGTGTGGCTAAGTCTGATTATCATTTTCATGTTACGGAGGAGGAAACCAGCTCAGAGAAAGTACACAATTTGTTTAGTTAGAATCAGACTCAGAATCTTGCCCTTTTAACTTAGTTGAGAGTGTTTCTCTTTGTGTTCGTTGCCTTACCCACAGCTCTTTCACATGTGTAGGGAAGGTGGATAAATGATTTAATATGAAGTATATCAGCATCATTGATATTTCTGGGATGGAAATGCTTCCCATAAATGATGAATTCTCAAGTACGTAAGAATAAATACACATTCTCACTCTCATCAGCTAGTTGTAATACTGCACAAAGCTCACTGGGAATGCACCGAGTGAACAGGAGGTTTAGGTTGTCCCTCCAGCTCAGCTATTCAGCACCAAGCCACAAAAAGTGATTCTCGAATTTGACAAGTTGAGTGTGGTTGTTGCCCAGGGACAAAAAAAGCATTGTGTTTATGAGATGTCTGCAGATAGCGACAGAGGAGTCCCACATGAGTATGTGGGAGTATGAGTAAACAGAGTGGTTGTGGTTAAGCACATATTTTAAGAGATGTGAAGACCAGGTTTCAAATCTCCTTCCTACCACTTACTTGCTGTGTGACCTTCTGTAAGCTATTTCATCTTTCTGCATGCATGAAAGTA